TCTACTTTTAGAGAGAGTAAGGTGGCTGCCTCAGGCTGTTGATAGGGGCACCATAAAGGAACAATACAGAACTACTTATCTAATAAAATGCATTTTGATAGCAGTTGGAACCTTTTGCTGCTCTCCCCAAAGCAGAAGAATATTATAGAGTGACCGAGCCTGATATTTACCTACAAAGAAGATTGCCTGTGATGGTCTTGCATGACTTACTGTTTTGGCCTTCCTTCTTTCCTAACTGTCACCAATGAGTGCAGGATAATTCTGAATTAACCTACTCCCAATACTATGATCAGTAATGGTGCTAACTGACTAACTGATTTAATTACTTAGTTCATATGAACAAACTATATGAACCTTGGTAATTCCTTCCTTCCTCCCTCCCTCCCTCCCCTTCTAATGCACTTTCCCAAAGAGCATTCAAACAAATGTTTGGAGAAAAGGAGTTAAACTTGAAATGACAATGAAGAATTGCAAATCAATTGCCAACACCATTCCTCACAAAAATCAATAAATTTACTAGAGTAATCAATTAAAATTCTGTTCCATGTTCAATAACAGAAAGTGCTGAAGCTGAGCAACAACAAAAAAAGAAAGTTATTTCTCAAGCTATGCAAGATGTATTCTGCTTCAGTATGGAGTGGTGGAGGAAGTTATACAGAAACTAGAAATATATTTTACAACTTTTCTATGTTTCAGTAACTGTGAACTGATTTATGAGGTTCCTCTCTATAGATTTTAAAAATAATAATTTATTTCATCTCCATATCAACAATCTTATTTTTTTTTAATCTACCGTAAACTAAACCTGGTAAAGAGAAAGATATATACCCGGAGAAACAAATTTATCATGTTTACATTCTGTATTTTCACACCTCTATTTATATCCTGCCAAGCAAAAGTTGATTAAATGAATCATATGCCTAACTCTGACTTATGTGTTTATCCTGGTTAAATTCTGTTTACTAAAATTTTGAAAAAAGAATGGCAAGGAATATTTTAAGATCTATACTGTATACACCAAGAGAAAAGGAATCTGAGAAATAATTTTATAAAAATATGTAATTATTTATCTGAATAGATTCCATTGCTGACACATTTAAAAACAGTTTGAGAGCCAGGTTGATGTAAGTAATGAAGGTGCTGGCCTAGAAACCAGGAGACTGTGAGTTCTAGTCCTGCGCTAGGCATGAAAGTCTGGTGGGTGACTTGAGCCCAGTCACCCCATAGGATTTTTGCTGTGGGAAAAACAGGAGAAAGGAGTATTAGATATGTTTCCCCCCTTGAATTATGTATTAAAAAGGTGGGATAAAATAATAATAATAATAATAATAATAATAATAATAACAACAACAACAACAACAACAACTGGTGAAACCACAAAATGGACAAAGTAATAGAAAAATGAAGAAGAAAAAGTGCTGTAGGACTTTAGACTTCAAAGATCAAGCACCTGCTACACAACACCCTAGACTTAACAATTATCAGTAAGAAAAACAAAAAGTCTAGGTAAGTGTTATTGCAATCCCAAAACAACTGGAACATCACTTGAACACCATTGATATTGACAAAACCACTATCAATCAATTGCAAAAGGCAGCTTTACTTAAACAGCTTACATCCTCTAGATACCTTTAACCATTAAAAATCAACAGCTGCCTATTCCAAGACCTTGGGAAGGATTCAATGGGCGAGTAAAAATGCCAAATCCAGTTTGAACATCTGGCTGATTGTGTGACCAACCATAATAATTAAATAAAATGCATTTTGAAGTTGTTTTTATAAATTGCTCAATAATATGACTGCATAGGACTTTAGATTTGAATGGTGCTTTAAAAGGCACATAATAGCAAATGTATCAAAGTGTGCATAATTTTTGATAATCACAACTCAAAATGCACTATTGTTCATGAACAAAATGCTTTTGGCAGGCCACAAAAGACAGTCTCGGTGAAGAATTAAGGTAGTTTTGTATTAGAAGGAACCAGGACTTTCTAAAGATGGTTGGCCTTTTTTCTCTTTAGAATTTTTGACTGTAGTACTTTGACTCGTAGAATAAAGAAAGACATGAATTTTCCCAATGAGTTAAAAAACAGTTGGATGAATGATCTGATACAATGCATGAAACTGATTTTAAAAGGGAAGAATAGAGCTGACAATGCTATGAACCACTTGCTATCATTGCTGGAGAAATCGAACAAAAGGATTAGATTCCAAACATTTACTGGATTTGTGATGTCTGGAACTTAGTTTCAAAGGATGAAAAAAAACCACTGAGCAACGGAAACACTAAGAGGATAAAGAACATATATGTATAACAAAAGTAACAGATGAATTATTTGTTAAAAATTAAGATTCTTAGAGCCTTCCTCTCCTTATGTACATTGAAATTGTTATATGGAGAAGAGGAGAAAAAGAGTGGGGAAAGATAAGATATTTCTTGTCCTCTTGGACCAGAAATTTTTTTTTTGATCTCTACAATAAATCATATTTACATTTTCACCAGAGTTTGGTGATGCTTAGTCTTTTTTGCATTCAAAGTCCTCAACTTTAACACAACTTTTTATTTCTTGTGGTCCATATTCTTATATGCAGAATTTCACTAAAAATGTGAATCAGTTGGTAAATTAATTTAAGCAAGATTGCTGCTTTAAAAATTTCTGGGGAAAAGGACGGAGAACGTAGTCATTTCTCTACAGGATTTGTTGATCTAAATCAGTATTTTTCAAACTTGGCAACTTTAAGGAGTGTCAACCTCAGCTCCCAGAATTCCTTAGCCAGCATGCAAGGCATCCTGAGTCACTTCTGAGAAAGCAATTTTTGAAACTGAATTTATAAATAAATAATATATTTGTTTTATAACTAAAACAAAGAAGCAGGATAACCATCTCACTACTTTAAAATTGCCAAAATTCCATGTATCTCCATTTGCTTTGCCAGCATCTTGGATTAATAAAATCCTCTATAAACCTTTTGTTTCATTGTAAATATTGCATTGGATAAGCTGATATTTTTCTAACAAAAATAAATCTAGGTTGTCCAAACAAATGCTGTTCTTCCACTTACTATCCTATAGAAAGCATTAGGCACAATACAGATAGTTCCTTGACTTACAACCACAATTGGGACCAGAATTCCTGTTGCTAAACAAGGCAGTTGTTAAATGAGACACATACGATTTTTATGACCTTTTTTTTTGTCATGGCTGTTAAATGAACCATTGCAGTTATTAAGTGAATCACATGGTCATTTTGTCAATTCATCTTCCTCCAATTTACTTGGCTTCTTGGAAGCTGGCTGGGATGGTCACAAATGGAGATCGCGTGAACATGAATTGCTGTAACCATTGTTAAAAATACACTGGATGCCAAGAGCCTGAATTCTGGCTATGTGACAATGAGGATGCTGTGACAATGAGGATGCTGTCATAAACGCAAGATAAGTCCCTTTTTTCAGTGACATTGTAACTTTGAATAGTCACTGAACAATGGTTATAAGTCAAAGACTACTTATATAACTATTTTTTTTTTTTGCATTAAAAAGTAAAAGCCAACATAGGCTAATGGGAAAACTTGTGTTTTTACAGCATTGTTAACTTTGGCTACATATGATCCAGATATTATAGTGTGATTAGTGTCTGCATTTTGTGTCTTGTCCTTGAAGTAACTGACCTTTTTAATTGAAAGCAACTCTTGCCTTGCTCAAGGCATCTACTACTCCTAAGAATAGAATAGAATAGAATAGAATAGAATAGAATAGAACAGAACAGAACAGAACAGAACAGAACAGAACAGAATTCTTTATTGGCCAAGTGTAATTGGACACACAAGGAATTTGTCTTTGGTGCATATGCTCTCAGTGCACATAAAAGGAAAAAAAGAAAAAAGTCAGTCAATGCCCTTCTCTCTCTCTCTTTTTTTTAACTGAAGCTGTAGGTCTCCCAACAAAGAAAAAAAAAGTACAGTTAACAACAACAAAAAGTACGTCGTTTTCAAAGCCTTTCTTCTAAAGCTGAGCTCAGTCCGGGGTGGGCTTAAATTGCCTGCTCCTTAAACCAAAAACGAAAGGCGGGGGGGGGGGGAGGGTAAGGGGGGAGGACGGAGACGTGGCCGAGCCTGGGATATCTGGGGGCCGAAACAGCGTAGGAGACAGAAAAGATCCCCCCCCTCGCATTTGAGTCATTTTCTTCTGTGAGGGACTGAGCCCGGGCGCCGTAAAACCTTCCCCGAGGGAGCCCACCAGCAACTTTCTCTCGACTCTTCTTCATCCTTCGCGCCCGCGGTTCCGCGCGCCCCCCACTCCTCCCTTGGCGCGCGCTCGTCCCCTCTCCCCCCCCGCCACCTCGCAGCCCCGCGCCTCCTCATTGTCTTCCTGAGCGCGTCGGGCGATTAAAAAATAAATAAATAAATAAAAATTCCGGTGACTGGGGAAAAAAAAAAAATCTCTCCCGCAGCTACGTAAGCAATCCGACTGGAGCTGCCGTCGTCTCGCACCGCCTGGCGCGTTACCTCGAAGGAGCCCCCCCCACTCCTCCTCCTCCTCTTCCTCCTGCTAGCGTAGAAAGAGCCCCCCTGCTGACGTGCGGGCTGCTGAGGTACCCGCTACGAAGACAAGTTGGGAAGGTACCAAATCTCTCTCTCACTCTCTCCCCCACCTCCCCGCCCCGCCTCGGAGCAGCACCATGTCGCTTTCGCATTCCACCCCCGGCCGCTCTTCCAGCCCCTCTTCTGGGCTTCGGCGCCTGCCTTCCCTCCGGCTGTGAAAAGCGCAAGGCGCTTCGGGCGAGAGAGAGAGAGAGAGAAGGAGAGAGGGAGACGCGAAACGCAACAAGCCCCCTTAACAACTCCTCGCCGCTTTCGACCTCAGGGAAGTCAGCCGTGTTGGCTGGCTCTCGCCGGCAAGCAGCCGGAGTGCGAGGACGTGTAATTTGGACCAAGGTGTTGTTGTTGTCCGTCCGTCCGTCCGTTCCCCCCCACATCCCGGTGGCAAAAGTGGCTTCTTACCTGGGCTCTTTACAGCGTCCTTTTTCCCCCCCTTGTCCGTTGCAAGCGGGAAGAGTCCCTTCCTTCCCGTGAGGTCTGGTGTCTGTCCGGGTTTGACGATGCTTACGGAGAGATGCCTGGGATTGCTCTACTGTGGCTTATACCTCTGGGCATCTTTGTTTCTCTCTTTTTTGCAAGGTAAGTCCTGGGTTGTTTTGATAGCTGGGGCTATGGGAGAAAACACACACACACACACACACACACACACACACACACACACACACACACACACACATCACTGTGGGATCTTTTCTGATTTCCTTGGTGATGGGTGCCTCCGGAGCCTTGTCTTTTGAAAGAAAGGACATCATTTATTCCCACAGGGTCTATTAAAAATGGGAAATTGTACTACAGATAACCTCTTTATTATTTTGAATTTTTTTTTGGTGCAGGAGATGTGTGTGTATATATATGTGTGTGTGTGCACAAATTAGAATAAAAGCTTGGAGGGGGAGAGGCGATTTCATGACAGTACTGTTAAAAAGTGCCACTTTTTCTTCTGGTTGGGTAACTTCTTTTGCGAACATACTCTCGTCAGCTATAAAAAAAAACGAGAAGCCTGCAACTGGCGGGAGAAAAAAAAATGCAATGTGAAATTCCTAACCCGAATATAACACATTTATCCTCAGATATGACAAGATAAATATAGGATTGATTTAAGAGCCAGTCGGGGATTGTCTCATTAGGTTTAAAGTACATACACCGGAAAGAAAGAGAATTACCTGCTTCAGTATTTGTCCTGTTATCTTTTACTTTACTATAAGTCAGGAATTAATTGAAAAGAGAATTCTGTTAGACACTGGAAAGAAGCTTGACTCACTCTAGCTGGCATAGTATTATTTACTTTTATACATTTGTCTCATGCCAGTGATCCGAATAAGTTTGGGCTTAATTTTAGAAGATGGACCAGGATGATATGAATATAGTAGATATAATGAACCAGCACATGCAATCTAGTACTTTATAGCTAGAGTATAATATGAAATTGTTCAAGGATGATGTAGTTCAGCTGACAAAAGCCAAGAGAACAGAAATCCAGATAAATGTTTTTAAAAATGGGGAAAGACCCCAACAAATATAATAGTAGAGCACAATATAACATTTTCAGGAGCTTCCTATACTCAATAAAAATATATAACAATGTCAGTACAAAGAGTAAAATCCCAATAGATCAAATCAAATCAACTTGATTTGACTTGTATGAAAAGAAAAATCTGAACTGATGTACCTTCATTTAAGGATCGGACATAAGTTATCCTTTCTTATTTTTACTCTGTTCTTTATCTGTAAAACAAGCAAATGTTAATTTGCAAGGTTATTGTAGGAAGAAATACTACAAAACATATAAAATGCTTACTAGTATAAATGACTATTTATCATACTAAATAGAATTTTAACATTCCTGTTCTTGTCCCTAAATCTGATTGACAAGTATTTTAATTATAAATACTTGGATATACATGGTCTTATTTTAATATTACTATCAAGCAGAGGATTTCCCATATATACCCTCAAGATGATAAAAACAGAGAAGAAAAAGTGCTTGACAGTTCATAAGATTCCCTTCCAGTCTTGCTTCTTGCTTTAAAAAATTAAACCATTAAGTTACATATAATAAAGCTAAACATATAATTAAAAAATGTTCTAGGACTCAGATGAACTTAACATTGCAATGCTATAGATGTACACTTAGAAGTGTGTTTAATTGGGCAAGCTCAAGTAAGTCTATAGTTTGAGGGTGCAGATGGAGAGTTGTAATCTAATATATACCGTTTATGGGATCACCAACTCTTTTACTACCATAGTATCTTTGACTCTAAAAGGCCAAATATTTGTGCAGATATCGTCTTCTGTGTTGGATTACTTGATGGGCCTAGTATAGTCCTGGAATGGAGAACTTCTGTTATCTTTCTGGTGGCCTCCCATTGACGGGCCAAAATGCTAGATATAGTAGAGAATAGTTCCCCCCCCCCCCATAGAATGAGTGAAATGACTAGACTTAAAGTTGTAGCCCAAGCATCTTATAGCTGATTTCCACTAGAGTCCTTAAGCATGTGAAATGCCTAAAGACTAGGCTAGCTGTTGGTATTCATGGCTCCATCTGGACGTTCTGAGGAGGCTTTCCCCACTAAAACTAGTACAACAGTTGAGACCCTCATTAAAGTTGGAGATCCTTGCTATAGTTACAAATGTCTTCATTACTTTTTGATTGGATTACTGCAATGTGTTGCCCTTGAAGATAACTTTGAAACTGCAACTAGTTCAGAATGCAGGAGCCCACATGCTGACTAATGAGAATCAGTCCAGTATTATAACACCTACTGTATATTGGGGATACCGCACTGGCCTTTATTAGGATAGGTACTGTCCAAAGTGCTGCATTTAAAGCTCTACTTGGGCAAAGAGGAAACTACTCCTTCCGTAGTGATTCTGGCTGGTTTGCTTCTGTTCTGCTCAGGGGTGAATATTATAGGTTATTTTAGGTCTGGTGGTTAAAGGAGACCAAGGTGCAAAGCCATATTTATCTATCATCACTTTCATTCCCTGGAATAAGTTTCTTGCATCTGAAAACTGGAGGGTTATCTTTAACAACAATAACCCCTAACTCCCTTCTATCTTAAAAAAACCCCACAACAATTCAAATTTGGCTTTTCAGATAAGGTTTTCATGACCAACATCCAGCTCCTGCTTTCCACTTTTGCTGGCTGCATGTGATGTTTTAATTTGAAATGTACATGTTTACATCAGGTTGAATGGGGTCTAGTAAATCTTATTGTTTGCTTTGTAAATTGCCAAGAGTGTTTGTAATAGAACTCTTAATAGTATGCAACTTTTGAGAAATAAATATGTAAATAAATAATCTAGATTATTTGAAACATGTTAGCCTAATCAAAGTATATTCAGATGATTAATCTGCTTTTGAGATTAATTCTGTAATTCTAAATAACTATAGCATTCTTGAATGTGTGAATGGGTGAAAAGGACATTGTGTATCTCACATCCTTTCTTCTTTTCATTTTGAGTAACTTCAGAAAAGTAGGATCATGAGTGGGGAAGATGAAGGCCATCATGTCTTTCGATTCTGTGGATCAAATATAGTGCTGTGTACTTGGTTTCCTTTTCATAAGATTGGTGGGGGGGGGGAATGGTTGCTCGGTGCTGTCAGCATCAACAGCTGTAGTCATTTGTTTAAGGAATGTCCCTGATTTTAATAAGTTATTTCCATTACAGCGGTTCAATCAATTGCATGTGGACAGTGCAATACTACTTACAGGGATCTAATCAGGTTTATGAAAGCTTAGGTCCTGGAACTACATGTATATGATTGAACAGCGTATCATTTCTATAACCTATTCTGATAGAAATGAAGTAGTAATGTGTATTAGCTAGCATAAGTATACATTACAATAGAAGTAAAGGTCAATGGTCTTGTTAAGGTGTATTATAGATTTCCCATTTTGAATAGCGTAAAATTGTGTTTTCTACCCCGTTAGTAATGCCTCTTGGTCTGTCTCTGGTCTCTTGCTTTTTTGGAACTTATATAGAAGCAACCTCTTTGCAGGGGTCAAGGCCAGCACCTACAAAATTTGGGATTAGTGCCCATAAACAATTGAGGTGCCCACTGAACTCAGCTGAGATTTTAACACTATCTCTGTTTTGATGTTTTTCTAAGCTCAGGAATGCAAAATGACAGATTAAGAGTTGCAAAGGAGGTAGTGTAGTATTTATTTCAGAGTAAAGTCTGTATGCAGTACCTATTATACAACATTTAATATACAATATAAACAATATAAATAAATAGTAAAATACATATTAATATGTAATATTAATTTGGCCAGGTGTTTAATGGTTAAGTTAAAGTGAAAATCTCCATTAGAGATTTTGGCACAATCCTAACTCATCACTATGTCAAATAAGTTAGTTGCATAGTCCCCAACTTTTGCTTTTTTTAAGCTTCATGAATGGAGTCCTATATAATGATTCTGTGACTTTTGTCATGTAACTTTACTGCATCTGAGCTGTCTGCTGAGAAACAGTTCACTGCAGATCCTAACTACACTGTTTTTGATGGCAAATGGAGCTCCTTATTTAACCAATGCAAATGTGGGAAGCAAAAAGCCAAGAGATTAAGGAAGAAATATATGGCAATAGTCATAAATACCTTGTCTGTCACGTCTTCAAAGATGGAAGCATCTAAACAACACTGCTCTGCAGGGAATACAATTGAAGCACATCTTCACAGTCCAGTACCAATATAGGACATGTAGAGTTAATACTGGTTGTGACAATGAATGTTTGAAGATTAGTATTTCTGTCCAGCAGGAATCATAAAGTGACACAATACTTTAAAAGTGTCTTTATAGCAGCACACTAAATTAGGTCAGAGTTGTGCAACTTGTGACCTGTCAAGCTGAACGGTTCCCATTTGTTGTGTTATCCCACATACTTAACCATTCCTCAGCTTCTGTAGTCCCAGCGAGGCCATAACAATAGAAGGCTTAGAAAGATCAGGAGGGTTAACATAGATAACTGGAGGGTCCATAAATTCTGCAAGTTGGATTTGAACTGTGTGGGAGATGGCTGAAACCCTGTCATGAGAGGCTCTGAAGGACTGTTGAGTGAAACAGTACAGCTAACAAGGTCAGGTGAACAAGGTCTGATGAAAAGATGGGGTGGGGAAACAATTTCCTTCCATGATAAATGAATGAATGGCAAGTTATTGTTACACAATGCCTTTTCCTCTGTGTGTGTTTTTTTTAATGCTGTGCTTCTATTTGGGATAGAGCATAGATAAAAGATTAATTAATGTGACATCTTCTCTACTGTGTCAGCAGCAATCTGTCAGCGTAGCAACTGGGACTGTGATTCGCTCTTTCATTTGTTGAGAGCGAATTTTATAAAATCTGCTCCAGGCCGTAATGTGGCAAATTAATTTAAAGAACATATATCCTTAAATATAAAATCAGTGGCATTTCCAACAGCTGCATCTCAACCTGCTGCCTGCTGGTTGAACTGAGTCACAGAATTACAAGCCAGCAGTAACGGTATGAAAAAGGAAATTCTGGCAAATGTATCACATGCAAGGGCTCCCTCTTTTTATGATGCCTTATCTATATAGATAATCATCGACTTACAATTGCC